TGATATATCTAGCAGATATACTTTGGGTTTCTACTCTTCGCCTTAACATAAACGTACAAAATACGTTACTTATTCAAAAATGTATAAACACTTNCAAAATACGTTACTTATTCAAAAATGTATAAACACTTTTATAGATAATCGCACAATCTTTCCTATTACAGAAAGTATTATTTTAACTCATCTCACATTAATACTAGATTATTTATTTAAACATTCATCATATCAAATTTCACAAATTTTATTTAAAGACGAAAATATTTCATGCGTAAATCCTGAAACAGTTAAAAAATACATTTATTCCCAATAATTTACTTAATACAAAATTTTATATAACTTATTTTTGTTACTATCATTTCTTTTTTTTTTAACAATACTTAATTATAAAACTGTGTCAGATTAATTCCAATTTAATTTATTACAAAAATTATATTAACATTTTCATAGACCTAACTTATCACAATTATAAAAAAAGTAACGAAAAATATTGGCTGCATCAAAAATTATTAAATTTGTCATAACATGGTAAACCACTTTGCATGACACCAAAAGTTGTTAATTTATTACAGATAATATCTAAAATGATACATGTTTAATGTAATCAATATTAATAAGTAATTTAGGAAATATACGAGGTACGTCCAGAAAGTAAGTTCCGTTTTCTATTTTTATCGCGTTTGCGATATTATCCTAATTACGGTCATATCCGATTATTTCATTTACTTATTTGGAACATTTTAAAACCATTCCGTGACCAGTTAGTGTACGTACGTCACGTGGCGAGTGTTTTAAAATGGATAAACGAATAGAAAATTCCGCCATATGTGAGTTACGATCTATGATTCGTTTTTTAAATGCAAAGAATATCAAACCAGTTGATATTCATCGTCAAATTTGTGAAGTTTATGGGGAAAAGGCTATGAGTGATTCAATGGTTAGGAGGAGATGGGTGCGACGACGAGGCATGCTTAGCCGAGGCATTGCTTTCATCCACGACAATGCCCGCCCACACACAGCAAATGTGACGAAACAAATTCTTGCAGATTTTGCATGGGAACAATTTAATCATCCGCCCTACAGTCCAGATTTAGCACCCAGTGATTTTCATCTTTTTTTACACATGAAATTATTTATGGGTGGCCAGAAACTTCAACGAAGATGATGAGGTGAAAAAGGCTGTTAGCACATGGTTACAATCACAGGCGTCATCTTTCTATGATGAAGGGATACAAAAACTAGTACCTCGATATGATAAGTGCTTCAATATTAGTGGTAACTATGTTAAAAAATAAAGTTGTACTTGTATTTTATATTCAAATAATATTTATTTCTTTAAGTATACATCCTAGAAAGTTCCTTGATGGCTTATCAGATAGAGCTTTTTAAGCAGATATTGTACTTTTTCCAAAAAAAAACTACTGATTGATTATCAGTAGTTTTTTAGCTTGATTAGCTGTTATAAAATGCGTTATACAAATTTTTGCAACAGTGGGAATTGCAGACCGATTAATCACCGACATAAGTTCATGCTTCGCAGCAAAAATTTTTGATGATTACTGTTGTCACAATATTTATTGTATCAAAACTCAAATTCTATAAGATATTCAATGAAAAATCTGACAGTAGAGCGAAAAAAGTAAAAGATAGTACAATATATGATGTAACAATAATTTCTAAACTAAGACACAATTTGGTAAGCATGAATGTGTTTATTCCGAATTTTGTCAGCTTTTTTTACATATGCAAATATACGTTAACTAAAAATAATTATTATTTTTAAGGTTTTCATTATTATTTACTTAAGTTTACTATTTAAATTTCAAAAATAAATGTAATAAATTATAATAATATAAATTTAAATAAACTCTTTCGACGACTATATATATATACATCAATTTAATAAAAAATTATCACAAGTTATTCAGAATATATTAGAGTAAACATGAAGGTGACTATACCTATTATATTTAAGCATTCGATTAAAATCTAAAAAATCATTTTTTTTGTTCTAGAATTGGCAATTAATTTTATTATTTTTGGTAAATTCCTGTTTGATATTTAATGAAGGTAAATTTTATATTATATTATTATATTATTATATTATTATATATAATGTCTCTTAAATTTACCAAATATATTTAAAAATACATGTATTTTTTTTAATTAATACTGCACTTCCGAAACATTTTTAAAAGTTAATTTGATTTGATTAAAATATAAACAGTTTTAATCTCAAAAAAGGTGATAGAAAATATTTAATTGCATTTTTTAAAATGGCATACAAATTGGTTTAGAAAAGTATATTTTGGTCTATTATGAAAACTGTGGACCAGCAAAATGATTAAAAAAAAAATTATATTGATTTATTCATTTTCGAAATAGTTTGGCAGTTTTAAATAGGAAAAATTGAAAAAAAAATAAAAAATGTGCGACTTTTAAATTCGTAATTTTTTGAGGATTTTCCTCATTTACGGGGTACAAGGAAAATATTTTCAAATTTTGAGGGTAATGTCTTCAATTAGATATAATTTTTGATATTTTACATATTGTTGAAAGAAATCGGTTCGGCGAGAGCTGAGAAAAAGTGGTAACAGACACAAAAAAAAAACACATAGTAAAACTAATACCTTCTCAGCTTCTCATGGAAGCTAAATTTATAAAAAATTTTAAGTTTTTTTGTATACTTATTTCATTGTTATCAAATCGACCACACATCGAATATTTTTCAAAGTTTATTGTAATTAATATTGATTTAAATGAATAATTATGAGAGGTAACATAAGCTACAATACTAACCTTTAGATTTAATTTAAAAATTATTCAAAAATATTTTTATTTAAATAATATTTCAAAAATATCCGAATACATTTTTATTCATATTATTTTAAAACAATATTACACAAATAAAATTTTATTTCAATAAATATACTTTGGCTCATCTAAAAACAAATTAAAAATAGTTACAAACAGAGTTTTAATGCAACAACATTTTTTTTAAATTTTAACAACAGTTAATTTAACCTATTATCTTAAAAATTTTTTAAAAAATTACATCAGTTTCTTTTTTTTGAGACGAAAGATATTATTATATAAATATTATTTTTGTATTTGTACAGTAATTTATATAACTTATAAAGATTCCTAATTATTTGCAATCGATGACTTTCGAATTAAATTAACTTAAACAAATAATCAATCAAGATTTATTGCTGCATAATTTCTTCAATTTACTATTAATATAATTGATACCCAAATATTTCGAAATTGTGAAATTATCACGTAAATGATATTTTTAATAATTGTAGAAAATTTTATTATAAATTAGAATTGTACCACCATAGCTGGTGAATTATGATTTGACATTTAAATTCCAATTCAACAAATTTATATTAATTTAAGAAACTTGTATATGAGAACTAAATATTTAGGGTAAATAACTTTGAGATATTTTATTAAATTTTTGAATTGCATAAATGTAATATAATGCTATACATTTTATCATATTTTCTAAAATATTGCCTTTTTTTTTATAGGAATATATATATATAAATAAATATATATTTTTCTTTATTGCTTTTATTAGTACATTAAGGGCCATAGCGACCTCTCCTTAGGAGGAGGTTTTCTTAACCATTTATACTCTGGAACGGGTGGTTAGTCTGTCGCCGGAGAGTGGAATGGTGACTCCAATTACCAAACTGATCTCTTGTTTGGCAAATGAAGATGCCCGTGATCGAGTTTCGAATCCGTGAAAGTGCGCATCAAGCACTATTCAATAATAAATAATATTTAATAATTTGATATTCAATAATTTAATATTTTTTACGGAGATATTATAAAAAAACCCAGCACAGTGGAGTCGCGGCATAGTGGGGACGTTGCATAGTTGGGTCCAGTATAGATTTAATCTGACAGTGATTAAAATCACTATCCTAAGAAACGCTTCGATGCAAATCAGTAGATAGTGTTTAATTCTAAGAAATTGGTGGATAATTACAAAAGCTGCATGATCTGCTAGTTCCTTATTAATACCCTGATTAAGATAAAGTATGTCGAATGAAAAAGGGATTATTAAAAAATATTATTTCTCATAAAAAAATTGTGTTGATTCGTACACTTTTCAATGAGTTATAGCATTATAAAGTTAAAAATGTAACCAACCCAACCCAACATCAACTCCTATTTCCTTAATTATATCCAGATTAGTAATTATTTTAATTATATATTATATAATTTTTATAATTAATTATTTTCAAATTATTATTGATTTTTAATATGTTAAAAGTAATCATTTTGAACCTACTTCTTTTTGTTCTTTAAAGTGAAAGTTTTAATAAAAAAAAAATGAATTTATTACCATAACTTTTAACTCAACTTGCAAGTTTGAAATAAATATTATTAAATAGAAAAAAATGAAATTGGTAGATTATTTCAAAAACAACAATAACACTTATTCCCTTAATTTTACCCCGATTTATAACTATAATATATGAATACATAATAATTACAGTAATTAAATTGAGTATGAAAGTGGTATTCAATAATATAATATTGTAATTTTTACGGAGATATTATAAAAATAAAAAGGAGTTGTATATTCATATACTTTTAATGCGTATACAAATTTAAAGGAATTTATGCAATACTTTTTAATAAAAAAATTTTGTTACTTATGAATAAATACACTAAACAAAAGGAACTTTCATCAGAAAAAAAATATACTTTTCTAAATAAACTTTTCGTGATGTTTTCAAATGTGCAATTAAACTTTTTCTATTACTTCTAAGTTTTAATATTATTACTTATTATTAAAAAATAAGTATTTACATATAAAAAAAAATAATTAAGAACAAAAAAAATTGTATTAAATTAATACTGATTTTGATTTTTAATATGTTAAAGGTAATCATTTTGAACCTATTTTTTATTGTCTTTTAAAGTGAAAGTTTTAATGAAAAATACCTTCTCAGCTTCGCATCGAAGCTAAAAAATGAATTTGTTACCATAACTTATAGTTCAACTTGCAAGTTTGAAATTGACATTATTAAATTGAAAAAAATGAAATTTTTAAGATTAATATGCAATCTGGAAATTTTATAATTACTAATTACAGTACATTTGTCAGAAAAATTCGATTTTTTTACATTTTTATCGTAATAGATAACTGAAATAGAAAGAATAGTAATCATATCCTAATAACTTTTGGTGTTTAAAAAAATTCTGCAATTGAAATATTCAGAACTTAATTAATTTTAATAATTTACTTTAATTAAATGAACCAATCAAACCAAAGTAGTTAAAAAGATTTACTCAATTGAGCATATTATCAAAAATATAATTATAATTGTAAAACTCCATCGTTAACTTCAGGTGAAACTAAAAATCATTTTTTTTTTAAATTTATGATTTATATAGCAACATATTACTAAAAAATTTGGCATATTATAGACTGGTAGTAGCACACAGAAATAGAGTTAAAAAATTAATAAATTATAAAGTAAAATTATTTACTTTTGTAGTTGAATACTTTTATCATATCAAATTTAATTCGACAATAAATAATTTAAGAATATTAAAAATTAATGATTTTAATTGTTTGTATGGACAAATCTAGTTAAGCTACTTTTTATTTGAATAAGGAATATTTTTTTGATTTTTAAGAGTAATAACTTAAACTAATCATTAACTTAAATATCATAAACTTAAATGAATCATTTGACGTATCGTTGAAAAAAGTAGGTCTAGTGAGGGTTGGCAAAATAAATCGTAGCCAGAAAAAGAACCACATAGTAAAATAATATTAACATGAATATCAATTTCTTCTCACGAGGGGAGACTATAGTGATAAGATCCTTTATATTTATTGAAATTATTGAATCTAAATGAGATAAATATCAAATGATTTGAAAATTCTATTTTAACTCAAAAAAAAAAATGCAAAATTTTGGTAGTCACAGACGGATGTGAACCTCGTACCCTAGGCGTGAAAGATCAACATGTTACCCATTCGGCAACTGTTCGTTGCTTTTTGTTGCATGATAAAATTGGCTATTTAAGCTAAACCAAATTTAAAAATTACTTTTTCGACTATAAAAAAGTAAAAAAAATTTAATAAGTATAATTTCATATGCCTTATGAACTTTATTCTATGTCAGTTTATTCCCCTAATAAGATATTTTAAAATAAAATAGAATACAAAACCCAGAATTTTAATAAAAAAAATAGCATATTTTTGAATACGGTAGCCTTTTGCGCATAGAAGATAGGTCGTCGGGACAAATTTTTTTTTTTCATTTAGTAGTACATAAAATAAGCTTTAATTTGATATATGTTTAAAGGACGCAGTATTTCCGGAACATTTTCAAAAATTAAGTTGAAAAAGTTAGTTTTTGTAAAAAAGTTGCTATTTTAAATCCCCCCTGTGAGCAGAATAAGTGTTAGATTTTCAAAAAAAAATGATATCAAATGAAAGAAAATTACCTAAGGTTTCAATATAAAGAAATATTATTTTGATTAGTTAATATTTGAAAAAGTTATGGCAGTTTTAAGTACAAAAAACATCGTTATAAAAGGTGATTTTTATCGCAAATATTACATTTTTTTTATAATTTCGACAGCCATTTGCACATAGAAGATAAAGTGTCGGGACAAATTTTTTTTTTTCATTTTATAGTACATAAAAAAAGCTTTAATTTGATATATGTTTAAAGGACGCAGTATTTCCGGAACATTTTCAAAAGTTCAGTTGAAAAAGTTCTATTTTTTATACAATGTTTCAAAGTTTGAACCCCCCCTATATAAGGGGAAATTGTCTAATTTTAATAAAAAGTATGTCAAATGGAAGATGTACTTATAATGTATTTAAAAAAAAAAAAATTGTGCTGATACATGCATTTTTCGAAAAGTTATAGCATTTTTAAGTTGAAAATTAAAAATCGAAAATCGAAAATTTTAACACAAAAATAGTGTTTTTTTAACTACGGCAATCGTTTACATGCAGAAGATAAAGTGTCGGGAAAAATTTTTTTTTTCATTTTATAGTACATAAAATAAGCTTTAATTTGATATATGTTTAAAGGACGCAGTATTTCTGGAACATTTTCAAAAGTTAAGTTAAGTAAATTTTTGTAAAAAAGTTGCATTTTTAAATCCCTCCTATGAGTTAAATAAGTGTTAGATTTTCAAAAAAATGATATCAAATGAAAGAGAAATATCTAAGGTTTTAATATAAAAATAAATTATGTTGATTTTTGAAAAAATTATGAAAGCTTTAAGAAAAAAATGACAAAATTTATCGATTTTAAAAATTGTAATTTTTTTGGAGATTTCCCCCATTTGCGAGGAACGATGGAAAATTTATCAATTTTTAAAGGTCTTCAACTAGATACGATTTATGATATTTTGACGTGTTGTTGAAAGAAATCGGTCCAGTGAGAGATGAGAAAAAATGGCAACAGACATAACAAAAAATAATAATAATAAACACATCATGGTAAAACTAATACCTTCTCAAATTCGCACCGAAGCTAAAAATATAATTCTAGTTTCTCATAAGGTTATAATTTTTATTCACCATGAATTTGAAAAAATGAAAATTGTAGTTGAATTATTTCTATTTAATTAAAACTTTTTTAGTAGTCTAAATCAAATTCTAATATTGTTAAAATTAATTAATAATTGTGATAATGTAGCAATTAAAAGTAAAGACTCGGGCAACGAAAAACTATGTCAAAAAGGCACAACGTCAGAAGCTGCTAAAAATGGTGACATTGAAACATTAAAATTAGCTTTCAAGAATAGATGCGAATGGGACGAAGATACTACTCAAATGGCGGCAGCGTATGGACATTTAGATTGCTTAATATACCTTCATGAAAGTAAATGTGAATGGGATGAATTAGTAACGACAGGAGCTGCTTTTAATGGGCATTTAGATTGTTTAATGTATGCCCATGAAAAAGGATGTGAATGGAACGAAACAACAACTAGAGCTGCTGCTGCAAATGGAAAATTAGTGTAGTATCACATTTTAATACATGTAATAATTAATACTTATATTTAATAAAATACATCACCAAATCAGTGTTTCCCCGTGGATAAGATGAGTAATAAAATANATTAGAGTGTTTACAATATGCACATACAAAACATTGCGAATGGGATGAAACAGTAACGGCAGCAGCTGCTTTTTATGGGCATTTAGATTGTTTAACGTATGCCCATGAACATGGATGTAAATGGGACGAAAGCACAACTAGAGCCGCTGCTGTACATGGGGATCTAAATTGTTTTAAATATGCACATATTAATGGATGCAAAATAGATGGAGCTGTCACAACAATAGCTGCTTATTATGGATATAAGGATCTTTTAGAATATTCTAACCAATATGGATGTAAAATAAGTATAGACACAATTAGAGCTGCTGCTGGAGAGGGACATTTAGACTGCTTTCTTTATGCCTATGAACGTGGTTGTGTATGGGATGAAACAGTAACAGCAGCAGCTGCTTTTAGCGGTAATATAAATGTTTTAAGATTCGTTCACGAAAAAGAGTTATAAATATACTTTTTATTGTATATTTTGGGATAAATATACAACAATGAATGCTGCTTTAAGTGGTAGTATAGAGTCTTTAAAATATGCACATACAGAACATTGCGAATGGGATGAAACAGTAACTGCAGCAGCTGCTTATAATGGGCATATAGATTGTTTAATGTATGCACGTGAAGAAGGATGTAAATGGGACGAAAGAACAACTAGAGCTGCTGCTGAAAATGGGCATATAGAATGTTTAATGTATGCATATGAAAATGGATGCAAATGGGATGAAAGTACAATTAGAGTCGCTGCTGAAAATGGGCATATATAATGTTTAAAATACGCTCATGAAAAAGGATTTGAATTTGATGAAAGCATAACTATAGCTGCTGCATCAAGCGGCTGTTTAGACTGTTTAATATATGTTTACGAAAATGGATGTGGATGTATTAAGAGTCTAACTATAGCAGCTGCATCAAGTGGTAATATCGACTGTTTAAAGTATGTCAACGAAAAGAAATGTAATTGAGATGAGGGTACAACTAGAGCTGCTGCTGCAAGTGGTAGTATCGACTGTTTAAAGTATGTCCACGAAAAGAAAAGTAATTGGGATGAGGGTACAACTAGAGCTGCTGCAAATGGACATGTTGACTGCCTAAAATATGCCCATGAACATGGGTGTAAATGGGATGAAGGTACGACAAGAGAGGCTGCTGCAAATGGACATTTAGACTGCCTAAAATATGCCCATAAAAATGGATGTAATTGGGATGAAGGTACGATGAGAGAGGCTGCTGAAAATGGACATTTAGACTGCCTAAAATATGCCTATGAAAATGGTTGTGTAAGCGACGTAGACATAACAAGAATTGCTGATTTAAATAAACCAGTCAGTTACTTTCATTACAATTATGGAGAAATTGAATTTAATAATAATTTTGCACAACCATTTCATAAATATATTGTTTTTAGAAGTACTCAAAATGTTTACCCTGATATAATCAAATATTGTACTAAATATAGATATTAGTTTTCTCTTCAAATTTTTTATTTCTATATTCATTAAAATATTTCTTAGGCGTATTTTTGACATTTTACTTGTTTAAATAATATTTAACTTCATAATATAAAAAAAATCATAAATATTTTATTAACATTTTTTTTTCTGTTGGTAACACCCTGTTTCAAGAAACTTTGTAATATTACTTTATCACTTATAATATTAGCATATAATATGATGTTATCATTTATATATTAATAAACAAGATCACCATTTAAAGGTTCTAAAAATCAATTATAAATAAATAAATAATTATTTACGTTATTTAAAATTGTTATTATTGATAAAATATATTATAGAAATATAACAATATAAGAAAATGTGATATTTTATTAATTTTAAGATACTTTTTTGACAGAGAAGTCATTTCAAAAACTTAAGTTCCAGTGTTTAATTAAATAATCAAAAAAGTATTGCTTAAATTGATACATATTATAGCTACCTTAATAAAATAATAAAGAGGTAAAAGAAAGTAGCTCATTTTTTTAACTAGAAACTTTTTACAACCAGTTCTTAATCGAAACTCATAAAAAGAAATGTTTACTTTATTTATCTTTTTTGAAAGTAAGGGTACACGTTAAAATTTAGTTACTGGACACAACGAATAATAGTATAAAACAAGATTCCTCACACGAAACCTTAAAAAAATAAAAACGAGGATTGCCAACATACTCAGCGAAAAATTAAAATAAAGTAGGATTTATAAAATAAAATAAAAAAACTGAGCATCGAAGCTAATTTAATATTTTCACAAATAATTTGAATAATAAAACTTATGTTGTTCAATTTTTGTGTTATAATTAAATTAAGCTAGTAAATAAGTCCCTTCGTCGTCATTAGGCTGGAACTAAATATTGAAAATGTTAATTATTAAATTCTAATAGAATAAAAAGTTGCAGATTAGTCTCCTGATTATGGGAAAAAAAATTTTTCTTCCATATCTTCAGGTGCCACAAGAAGGTTAAAAATTTGACTATGAGGGTAGTTGTTTTGTTTTTGTTAATCTATACCTATCACAGGAAAAATTATAGAATAAATGTTTACTATAAAAAATGTTATTAGCAAAAAATCCGTATCTATATTAATTAGTCAGTAAAATTAAAAAAAAACATATTATTATTTTTACCATTGATATCATTTTTATTAGTTTATTTAAATATTTTAGACGAATATTAAAAAAAAAAATATTTGTATAAAAATTGTTTAGAATTGAATTGTTTATTATTTTTTTTGTGTGTATCATTTCTTTTACCAAACGTGGTTGTTATAATCGAGTAATGGGGTGGATTGAAAAACTGAATTTTGATTTTTAACTTTCTAATAGTTGGGAAATATGTATTTTAGTTCCTATATATCACTTATAAAATTTCCCTAGTCTAGTTTTAAATTAAGAAGTGCCGCAAGACATTTGAAATATAGTAATATTATTTTCTTATGATTGCTGGGTTATTCTATTTATACGGGATTCTATTGTTTGTAATAATTGACCTGATTGTTTACTTTCTGAATACCCTGTATATAGTTCATATAAATTATATTAAATAGTGATAATAAAAAGATCTGTGTCCCTGAGTGAGCAAAGTTGCAGTGCCTAATACACATTGTCCAGGGTTTTATCTAAAATCAAAATTTATTTGAATTGTGTTAATTAAAAAATAAAAACTACAATAAATATATGATTTTAGATTTAAAAATAATGCGTTGAAAACTCAGCTATACTTAAAGACACTGCAATTTCAATTTTAGACAATGTGATTTATTGGATTGAATATGTGATTCGCCACAATGGTGCCCCACATTTAAAAACTACAGCTAACAATCATTATTGGTTCCAGTTTTTACTTTTAGATGTTGTAGATGTTTGTTTATTAGTATTAATTTTAATTTTATATATAAATTTCAAATGTCTCAGTTTTATATTTAGGAAATATACTACCCGAAAAGTTAGCTACAGAGATAAATTACCAAAAAAAATCAATGATCAAAAATCATAATTTTAATTTGATGCGAAGTAGAGAAGGTATTCATTTTACTATGATGTGCTTTTATTTTTTTTTGTGTCTGATACCACTTTTACTCAGCTCTCACCAAACCGATTTCTTTTAGCGATACGTCAAAAGATTACAAATCGTATCTAGTCGAAGACATTACCCTCAAAAATTGAAAAAATTTCTCTCGTTCCCCTTTAATTTGGGAATCTCCAAAAAAATTACCTATACTTAAAAATATAATTTTTTATAGATACATAATGTTTTTACCTATCATTTGGTACATTTTTTTTTATAAATTTGACCCTTAAATTAAAGCTTATGTAATATAATTTATTATGAAAAAAAAAATGTCGGACTTTATTTTGTTTTCATGATGAAAATAAACATCAAAGTTAATAAAAAAAATACGATTTTTGTAAAAAAAAATTTTTTTATATTTTTCACTTTATAACGCTATAAATTTTTGAAAAATGTATGGATCATTTTTTATTTTTTTAAGATAAGTACTATTTATATGTTTCTTTTATGCAACACACTTTTTTTTTTAATCAGACCCTTTATATATTATACTTATAAATCATTAAACTTGTAATCAGAATACAAACAAGGAAATAGGACGTCATATAGCTTTTGGAATAATTCACCAATTTTTTAAANCAAACAAGGAAATAGGAGGTCATATAGCTTTTGGAATAATTCACCAATTTTTTAAAATTAAACACAATCTACAGATTTACATCAAAGCGTTTTTTATGATAATGATTTAAATCCAGATACTGGGCCCAACTATGCCACACCCCCACTGTGCTGGGATTTTTATTTATAAAAATAACATTGTGAAAATAATTTTAAAATAAAATCTATTCAATTTTAAAATTTTAATATTTTATAAGAATTATAACTTATAGTAATAATACATTTTAAATGGAGCTCCTAATGAATACTTTAAAGTGCAATTACCTCTTTTATGTACTTCCTTTTTAACATAAAATCCCCGTAATAATTAAACTATGTAAAATAATAATTTAAAAAACGTTGGCTTAAAAATAAGGTTTTTTATCAAATGTTACATTGTTTAAGTATTTTGTAATAATTTTTGTAACCAAAAAAAAAATAATATTTTTTTTCTCCAAAATTGATAAGTATATTCTTTTTTTATTACTCTGAAAGTTGATTACTTACATTAGTATAATTATTTTATTTAAAAGTATAAAATTTTATCGTGGAATAATTATTTAATTTTAGATTAGGCCAAAAGTTTTTTTATTCATAAATAAACATACAGAAATCCGTTTCTAGGAAACAAAATTTTATATGCTTAGATAAAATAAATAGTTTTCTCTTCAGGAGGCGATTTGACGTGAACGAAGAAAGTTTAAGTATTTTTTCACACAATGACACCTCAAACCGAACATAACGAAAAAGCTATAGCGTTCTCTAAAAAGTTTGTACTTAGTACAAATTGGCGAATGCCGCGCTCGAGTAGTATGTTTACAAAGCCTTCTTGGCAATTACACAAGTTTCAAGAACTGAAATCAGAGCTGAATTNGAATTACACAAGTTTCAAGAACTAAAATCAGAGTTGAATTTCGTTAAGAACAAACTGGACAACTTCAACAGCGAAACATGGCATGCACATACGACCAAAATGAATCCTGCTGGATTAGTCATTGGTCATCTTAAGAAAAATATACGTCCTGATTTTTTGACTCAAGCTTGGTGTAAGTTCTATGAGATCTTAGGGAATTCTTCTTTGCTTACTCAAGAACGTACATCCAAAGCTAATTTCAACTCTGTACATCTCTGTGAAGCTCCCGGAGCATTTATTTCTGCACTGAATCATTACATATCACTAAATCATCGTAACTTAAATTTCGACTGGTTGGCCATGACACTTAACCCGTACCATGAATCCAATGGTCAACCTGATATTATTACTGACGACCGCTTAATATTGAACACATTAGACAAATGGGAATTCGGTCCTGACTATACTGGTAACATATTTCAACCGAAGTATCACGAACATTTATTGGAGACGGTTTCTAAAAGATTTGTAGACGGCGTAAATATGGTAACGGCCGATGGAAGTATAGATTGTCAAAATGATCCAGGAGAACAAGAATGTACTGTCATGCGTTTACATAATTACGAGGTAATGGTAGGTTTGAACATATTAAAAGACAGGGGATCATTTGTATTAAAAACGTTTACGATATTCGAATGTAACACAATTTGTAGAATATATTTGCTTTGTTGTCTATTTGAATCTGTCGAAATTCAGAAACCAGCCACCAGTAAGTCCGGGAATTCAGAAATATATATTGTATGCAAAGATTACAAAGGTAGAAAATTTGCAGAGCCTTTCATTCAGTCGTTCTTTGAAAGTGAAAACCACGAAAATGCAATGTTTCCTCTTAGACAAATACCCAGAACTTTTATTAACGAAATATTCAAGTGTTCAAGTTATTTTTCCAACTTNAGAATTATTCAAGTGTTCAAGTTATTTTTCCAACTTACAAATAAGAACTATCGAGAGAAACATTAGGTCGTGGTTTCTAAAGGCCGAGTATTATAATGAAATGAAGGATATTCAAAGTTATGTATGCAAAGAGTTTATCAAAAGGTACAATTTAAAACCGATTCGTGAAGACCAAACTCTTATGTCAAAGAACNCTGAAGACCAAAGTCTTATGTCAAAGAACGTATCCAAAAATTATAAAAAGAAGACATTTGACGTCTCGTACGCGGAAAAGATGAGCCGTCGTGACTTAAGCCTTCGAGAAGAAGCTGAAATATTGTACAAGGACATGACAAAATTTTGCAATTTAGAAAATAATATATGGAATAAAAATTTATCTGTACGATGTAAAAAATCTAACATCGATGTGTCACAGGTAAAATTTTGTATGGGAAAGCCGGTAACGAAAGTACGAGGATCAAAATTTTGCGATGGATCTTTACTTGATTGTAGAAATAAGATAATAGATAAATTTCCTTACGTTGAAAGAACTAGTGATAAAAAAACTCGATCCTCGTATTTTAAATCTCAACTGAAGAACTGTAGATCAGATATAACAGTTTGTGATTTGACAGATATTTATTTGGAAAATCGTATAAACAATGTCAAGTTACAATACAATTGTTTGCATACTATCTTAGATTCATTGAAGCACACTACGAACGATATGCTATTAATTGGATATCCACTGCACACTCAAATAGCCATCGGATGTCTTTTTGCAATGTCTGGTATGTTTGAGTCGTATGCAATCTTGAAACCTGATTGTAACTGCGGACACGCTTTTGCATTTTTTGGTCTCCAGAGAAACAATAGGTGGCTTGATATTTTATACAAAGTCTTAGACAATATTTTGCCCACCTCTGATGATTACACAGATTCTGACAAAGCCTTAATTTCACTGCTTCCAATACAACATCTCATAGAACAAAAATCTTATCATGAAATAGTTGAACTTAATAACTTATGTCTTTTATATGAGGTCAAACCAATTCTATTGGACTTTCTTCGGCCATAGATGTTTTCTTTATACTTAAGACTTATGATATGCTATTACAATTTCAATCTCAACACCTATAGTGACTTTTATACCGATTGTGAATTCATTTGTATTTTGACATATGTCTGTAAATTACCTTATAACTCTTATGCTTGCCACAGTCACTGTACACATTGTAATTTATTATTGCAGTGCAATCTATTATCGTACATACTGTCGGATGTCTTCATTTTGTTAAGAGAAAATTATATACATCATAATTTGATTTTGTATTAAGTGAATTAATAACTTTTTAATACATTTTATGTGTTTTGTACTTAGATCTTTTTTTTTATTTTTACTTTTCAATTTTTGTTTTTTTTTTGCTCATTTAGTGAGCTAATTTGCAGATTTTTTCGTTAATTTATAAAAAATTATTTTTGAATATATAATTTACAATTATTTCAATATTTTTTTAACATTATTTCATTTAAATTAGTTAAACATTTTTTTTAGTTGTGTACTTTATGATAAAAGTATTAATGTTTTTATTTGAACTAAACATAAAATAAATATTGTATATTTTTACTGTAAAATCCTAATAGAATTTTAGCAAATATAATAAAGATATTTTTTGTAATTCATGTGTTCAATTTGTTATTTTTATTTATCCTTACTTTAACAGTGACAATTTGTGCTTTCTAATTATAAATTATTATTTGATGATATCAAAATTATTTTGGTATCATTATGTCGAATGAAAGAGGTATATAAATAGTATTTTTAATAAAAAAACGATAGCACTATGGGGTCACAGCATAGTGTGAGCGTGGCATACTTGGGAATCTCTAGTCTCTAGTCTCCCTCTATATCCTATTTTCGTAAGCCCCTCTAAATATGAGCCACCTGGAAGAATTTTACGTTTTTCGTTTACTATAATAGTATAATCACTATTATTATTATTTTTATTTCTATTTTCTACTGCGACCTTTAAAATAATAATATGTGCATTGTGTTTTATTTTATTATATTATATTTAATTTGACAATTTTTTATACCTATAACTAGCGGTATTATATTTAAAGTCGTAACTTAACCACCAGCACCCACGAATGCCACTGGTTATTAGTTTTCATAGGATTAATTAGATATGTATTAATAAGTTTAGTGACTATTAATATTTTTCTTACTATCATTAGAATGGCCTCATGATTTATAAGTCCAACATTCTTGAAAATATTCAGATAATCTATTTAAAAAGCTACTTAAAATAAAGTGTTGTTATGTAACGTGATTTATGAGAACTATGAGCGTATTATTAATATAAATATTATTACTTACAATGGAAATTACAATCCTTTTAACCTCTTGAAAAGGTTATACTGGTTATATATTCTTAACAACTATAAAATAGATAACAAATTTGATAAGATTTTAAAATGCGAACTTAATGTTGTTGCATAGAAATATATATAAGAATTATTGTTTATTACAAATAAGTTACAGGAATATAAAATGTGATATTAATATAATAACATACATTTAGTTCAAATAAAACTATTTTAGTGCATTTAAAATTTTTTTTACTACAGTTTTGTATTATTATTTGAGAATATGACGACGAAATTCTTTATTGTTTACTGTGTGATTGGATTTTTATTTGTCATGTGTGTTTTTGGATTAAAGAAGGATAAATTTTACTGTGAAATGGCTTCACCGTGTATTTGTGTTAGTGCAAACAATGATAAAGTTGATTTATCTAATATAACTGTACCATTAAATTTAACAAATAATGTAACATTAATTTACCAACCATGTCCAGATGAAGAGCAAAATCCTAATATTTATGCTGTAAGAATTGTTTATTGTTTACAATATTTTTTCAAACTAAACAAATAGAAAATTATTTTATAATTTATATCAAGTTAAAATTTTAATTTATTTGTATGTATTTTTATGATTTTTAATAATTATTTAAAAAATATGTATCAATTATGAAATTATATTGCCACGAGTAACGAATAAGGCAGTAACTCAAAAAATCCAACTTTGAGATTATGAGGTATTTGGATTTAGGTTTTACTCTTCTTATAATATAGTTCATCAAAATATCGTAAGTTTGGTTTGAGTCAAAATTAAACTACTTACAAAATTGATAAACATATAGAATGTCATTAGAGAATAAATTTTGTTTTTGATTTCCTAAAAAGTAATAAAAAGTGAGTTACTGCCTTATTGATGCGCATATCGATATCATTACATTATATTATATTGTTATACTTTATTATGTTATTAAAAAATCTATACTATTTTATACAAATTAAAGTATTTTAAAATACTCTTGATGAATTTCAATGAAATGATTTACAATTTAAGTTGGCTATATTGAATAAAATTATTAGTATTCTTAGAATTATAAAATAATTTAGTAAAATTGTATAAAATTGTTTAATTTTTTTATGAGGGAAATTCCCTAATGAGTCTATTGTTAGATTTTTGAAATATAGTCTGAGAAGTTAGTGTAAGACAAAATCTGATTTTATTTATTTATATTTAAATATAAAATAAATATAAATATTAAAATATATTAAATATAAATATTTGGCTAAAATAATATCTTGGTTAATTTTTTATATAACTATTTTTAACAAACCTTTTTTTTTAGGTAAGTATTGAAAATTCTACATCAAATGAGACATTACAACTTGCTCCTTACATGGATAGTAGTTTTGTGATTGGTGATTTTATATCTTTGATTTATAAGAATAGTAGTTCTAAGTAAGATTTATTTATTTTAAATTTAAACCTATTCATATTTGGTAGCTTCTTTTATAGGTGCTACTAAAATAATACCATATACTATTAAGATAACTTCTATTTTTAATGATAATGTTATGTAGTGCTAATATTTTATTAAGAGCCAAGTAGTTTTCATTTCATAGAAAATAAAGTTTGTAGCTGTAATTTGTCATAAGAAATAAGTCATTTTTCTTAATTAAACATTTATGTGTTATTAATTCTACAATTAAAAAAAAAAAAATTTATATATTTTATTAAAACGTCAGGATATTTAAAGTTGTTGAAAAAGTTCTGGGACTATCAAGAACACATTTTTTTCGTAAAATTTGACTTTATTCATCGACATAGTTTCCTTCTAGAGTGATATATTAATTCCAACGACATTCTAACATTTCTATACCTTTAAAATAGAACAATTTATCTTTGCCTTTGAAATACATCTCAGTTTCTGTGATGAATTCTTCTTTCAAACTGAATCTTTTTTCCCTAGAGCATGAGATTCGCGAAGAGGTAGTAGTTGCTGGGGGCCAGATCCGGATTATATGGTGAGTGTGTTAGCAATTTATAGCCCCAATCATGCATTTTTCCCATCATTTTTAATGATTTGTGACACAAGTTTACATTTTATTATATTAGTGCTAATATTCACTTAGCTGTAATACAATGTAACACATAGTAAAAAGTGAGGCACAATGAGACATTTAATTTTTAAGTTACTCTATATCAAATAGTTCTCAATAATTCTGAACAATTTAATTTTAACACTGAAAATAATGAAAAAAAAGATACTTTATTAATTTTAAAAGGAAATGAGTAACTGGTTCAATTTCATTACTTTTATAAAAAGTAATGTTGAGTCAAATTTTAATTTTTCTTTAAATAATAAAATTGAAGCATTAAAAAATGAATTGATGTTATTGTCCTAATAAAAATAAGCTTATCTTCTAATTTAAAACAATGATGTTATACTGTCAATTAATATTTTCACACTTAATTACTTTTACTATAAAAAAAAACCCAGCACAGGGGGGTCGCGGCACAGTGGTGACGTGGCATAGTTGGATCAAGTATAATGATATCTGACAGTGATTAAAATCACTATCAAAAAAAAACGCTTCGATGCAAATCTTTAGATAGTGTTTAATTTTAAAAAATTGGTGGATTATTCCAAAAGCTTCATAAACTGCTAGTTCCTTATTAATATCCTGATTAAGACAAAGTATGTAGAATAAAAAAGAGATTATTAGAAAATAGTATTTCCCATAAAAAAATTATATTGATCAATACACTTTTCAATAAGTTATAGCATTATAATGTTAAAAATGTAAAAAATAAAATTGAGAATTTTCACACAATAATAGCATTTGGTAGCCATTTTCACCTTGAAGATAAAATAAAGTCCGAAATTTTTTTTTTCCATGATAAAGTATATTACATTAGCTTTAATTTAAGATATATATAAAAGTGTCAGACTTTCCGGAACACTTTCAAAATTTAAGTTGAAAAAGTCAATTTTTTGTGAAAAAGTTGTCATTTTGAATCCCCCCCTGTAGGCAGGTAAAAAGTCAGATTTATAAAAAAAATATACCAAATGATAGGTAAAGACATCATGCATCTACAAAAAAAAGAATTATATTGATCCATACATCTTTCGAGAAGTTATAGCATTATAAAGTTAAAAATATAAAAAAGAATTTTTTTACAAAAATCGTATTTTTTTTATTAAGTTTAATGTCTGTTTTCACCATGAAGATAAAATAAAGTCCGAAATTTTTTTTTACCATTATAAAGTATATTACATTAGCTTTAATTTAAGATATATATAAAAGTGTCAGACCTTCCGGAACACTTTCAAAAGTTACGTTGAAAAAGTTCTACTTTCTATATGCATTTTTATGTTTTGAATCCCCCCTGTATTTAGGGAAATGGTCCGATTTAAAAAAACAGTATGTCGAATGAAAGATCTATATAAATACTACTTCTCATAAAAAAATTGTAATGATTCATACATTTTTCAAAAAGTTATAGCATAATAAAGTTAAAAATGGAAAATACAAAATCGAAAATTTTCACACAAAAATAGCATTCGGTAGCCATTTTCACCATGAAGATAAGATAAAGTCCGAAATTTTTTTTTTTCATGATAAAGCATATTACATTAGCTTTAATTTAAGATATATATAAAAGTGTCAGACCTTCCGGAACATTTTCAAAATTTAAGTTAAAAAAATTAATTTTTTGTGAAAAAGTTGTCATTTTAAATCCCCCCTTGTGGGCAGGTTAAGGGTTAAATTTATGAAAAAAATATACCAAATGAAAGGTAATGATATTATGCATCTATATAAAAAAGAATTATATTGATATGTTCATTTTTGAAAAAGTTATGGCACTTTTAAGTAAAAAAAATTGAAAAAATTTCGAAAATTAGCGATTTTTAAATTTGTAATTTTTTTGGAGGTTTCCCCCTTTTACGGGGAACGAGGGAATTTTTTTCAATTTTTAAGGGTAATGTCTTCGACTAGATACGATTTGTGATCTTTTGACGTATCATTGAAAGAAATCGGTTCGGTGAGAGCTGAGAAAAAGTGGTAACAGACACAAAAAAAAAAAAAAAACACATCTTAGTAAAACCAATACCTTCTCAGCTTCGCATCGAAGCTAAAAAATTATAACTTTTTTTTTAACAAGGAAACAATGAATGTTGCATTTTTGGCGATAACATTCTCATCATTATGTGTTTTTTGTGTCTCAATGTATAAAAAATGTATTTAATAATGAAATAAATTATGAACGTAGCATAATTATATTTGTTATTATGTGTTAACTCTATTTGGTGACTAATATTTCAATTATCCAAAACAGAAATGTGAATTATTTTATGTCTAGTTTTTATTTATTAAAAATTGGTATTTCTAAAAAAATGCAAGTTTTATTAATTTTTTATTCGTTAAATATTTAAATACTTAATAAAAAAATATTGCTAAATATCGCTTTAATTAATATGAGTGATATGAAGATAAAGATGATTTGGTATGAATCTTATTGTCCCTCTGTTTCCTTTACACTTTCCAATTAATTTATTTAATACTATAATCAATTTTTTTTTTTAGTGTGTTTCAGGTGAATTTATCATGCAATGAATCAGCAACAAATGGAAATGAATATCTCACTGATTTTAAAAATTATACAAATAACTATGTAACTTTTTATGCAAATTAGCAAAAATGTTAGTATTAGAATTTTAAAAATATTAATTTTTCATTTTTAGATTATAACATTAAAGACAAGTGAAGTATGTGGATTAAATTTAATTGATGCAATTGAGAATGATTCAACAAGTTCTTTATCAATATTTTTTTCTCTCTTATTGTTTATTGTTTTTGTATATTTAATTGGTGGATCTGTAATCAATGCTTGTTTATTAAATAAGACAGGAGTGAATATAATCCCACATCATGAATTTTGGTCTTCAATATACAACAATTTAAAAGTTTGTTTTTTAAGTTACAAAAATATAATTTTTTCTTATTCATTTATATTAATTGCTTTTTATAGGAAAAAATGTGTGGTTCTGCAATGATGGCATCTGCTTACGAAAGCATATAATCATATGAAATCAAATGACATTTAATATTATTGTTTGAAATCTGTAAATTAAATATTTAAGTTTTGATTAAAACTTGAAGTTAATATAATTTTTTATGGATTTTTGTTTAATTATCATTTATTATCATTGTTAAAATTTACATTAAAAAACTTTTGTAAATTATGTAGTATACTAGATTCAATTATTAGCAATCAAAGTATTTAACTGTAAATTGTTTAATTGTAATACTTAGAAATTAAATTATTATCTTAAGAAACAGAAAAGTTCATTATTGTTATCATTTTGGAGAAACAAAATAACATGTTTTTCATCATAACACTAATAAAACTATTTAGTTTATAAATATGTCTTTAAATATGAATTATTCAATTAAAATTAAAATAGGTTAAAATATGCAATGGTAAGTTATTACATGGTGATGCATACAATATTTTTAAATGAAATTTAAAATCATTGCTTTGAAAAATAATCACCAAGTAGTTTATAAATTTAAAAAAGTAATCCAAATTGTTGAAATCGTTGCTAATTTAAATTTGTCAATAAATGATGTTATTTCAGATTATAATGTTCCCTAGGGTGACCCTTAGATACATGAGAGGTTTTTTTTTTTTTTTAATATTTGTAAGTGCCACCCCCTAGAATTATTCGAATACATGAAAAAATAAATTGTACAAAATTTGGAGACGATTGGTCAACTCTAAGACGTGCCCCAAGGGGGTTAAAAATAACCCCCCAAGGGTGATTTTTTAGTTTTTTTTGTCTACTTCAAAAACTTTAACTTTTACAAAAAAGTTTATTTGAACTTTTTTGTAGGTATACAATTTTTCTATAAAAAGTATATATACAAAAATTTTCGAAAAGTTCTTATTTAGCCGTAAAAAAATAAAAACGTATATGTTCTATTCTTACCGTTAAAATTATTAATTTATAAATCGTTCATTGTAAAAACAAAAAAAAAATTCATTTAACCGTTGTTTTAAATTAATTTTCTATACATTTTTAATTTGACATTTTTTCTATTATGTACTTTTCAAAACCTACAATTTTTTTAATTTTAATTATATTAAAATTATACGGTTTTTCTTAGTATCTTCAATGTTCCCTAAACTACTATTAGTACTATATATTATTTTTTATACTATACACTATAGTAAGGAGAGATTCTAAAAAATTATGAATGATGCTTTTCATAATCATTGAATTAAAAAATTCATACCAGTGACAGTGGCATAATTACATCAGGGTTGTAAAATTCATGGTATGGAGCACCTGGCTTAGAGGGTACAAGCCTATTAATCTAATAATTAAGTTATGATTGTGTTATTTAAAATGTTTTAATAAGTTTGTATATTAAAAAAAAAAAATTCTTAAATTTATGAATAATTTGAATACATGAAATTTGTTATTTTTGTGTAAACAATATATTACAAACCTATATAAATTCATTAGTAAATGGTCTCTGAAAAGCCTAAATATTATATAATTTATATAAATTATATTTAAATAAATAGCTCAGTAAAAATTTCAAAGCATATGTGACGAGTGAGTTTTTAATACGCTTGTGTATAGATTAAAATAATCATAGAAAAATTAGTTTGCATTGAAGCTGAAATGTTGAATATAAAATTAATTATGATTCTTTTAAGGCAAATTTATTATTATTCTATATTGTGTGTAACTTATTCTTTTTTATTTTTAAATTCAATAACACTGGCAAATAAATATATATATTCATTTTTTTAACAGTACTAATATATTATAATAGTGTTTTTTAATTTTATGACATAAAGTATAATAGTGTCCAGACCATTTTTGTCGGTCGTGGCAAAGGGATGGGGATTTACGCATTTCCATATTCCCACAACTCGGATAAATATATTAATTTTAAATATTTGTTAAGAAGGGAGGTATATTTAACACCTCGCGATTTTTACTTTATTTTAATGAATTTTGCAGGTTTAATATTATTATGCAAGATATTATCATATTTTAAAAACATAACATATAAAATATTTTTTTAAAGCTATAACTCGTTTATATCATTTAAACAATGATAAATTACGAGGGTAGTCATTGTCTCCCAAAATTAATTGCGATTTTTATTTTTTGTTAATTCCAGTTTTTTTTAAAAGCTTTGTAAAGCTTTGTAGCTTTAGTGTAAAACAATTTTGGCGAACGAAAAAAAAATTAGAACCGTTTAAATTGATAAGGTTTAGTTTTATTTCATTTGACAAAAATAATCAAGATTAATGACTTTTAGCCATTAATTAAATTAAAAAAAAATTAATTAAATATAATAAAATATTTACATAATATAAATTAAGTACTTTTTGAATATTTATTTTGACTATTTGATACTTAAACCATACATGTAGGAGGATATTTTGAGGTGTATATATACACCAAACTAGGGTTGTTTAACAACACAGCGTAGCCTGGCCTTAGTATTATAATAATAATTAAAACAATTGAATTTTATAATATATTTTTTTATATTATTACAAGAAAATCAGTTCCCTGATGATATAAGTACAAATATTTTATGAACTGCAAACATAAAAAATCGAATTTCGGTTTTCATCATATTGCATGTTTACTTAGCAGCGTTTTCCAAACAAAATAGTGTTTTTGTCGAAGTGCTTTCTCGTACAATAATGTGTTGAATATCATACGATAGCCTTTTTTGGATGGACATATTATTCGACACTGGTATTGTGAGCTGACTTAATTAAAAATTATAATATTTGCATGTAATAGTTCACAATTTTTCTTCGTGCCAGTTTGTACGATAATTCCTTCCACAAGATCGCCCATTAAAAGATTTGATCCGTCTAACAGATACGAATGATGTCGACGTGTTAATTCGGTGAAGGCCTTCCATTTGGCTGGCGTCATTGTGGCTGTAGCGGAACTGATGTTGCTGTGAATTCAGATAGCTGTCCAGAAATCCTCTACATCCGGGAATGCTACTTAATACTGCCGCAAAGCCCGTTCGATACCTGGTATTCATCCAACAGTATATAAGAGGGTTGTAGCACGTATGTGACATGGCTAACCAATGAAAAAAGAACCATACGTACGGTAGGCCTTTCCATGTGCTCAAAGATGGTTCGTGATCCCATATAATCTGCAAAATATAAAATTTTTTTATAAATTTTAAAAAGAAAAACTTTTTTCCTTAGTAAGTGCTAAGTCTAATTTTATTTTTAGTTTATTATTGCAATGTCAAATTTGGTACATATTATATCTAATGTTAGACAAGTGTTGAAAAAATATTAAAGTGTTGCCAATAAAATAACTATAAAATAACTTGCGATGTTAAAATTACCTTTGACTACTAAAGTTATAGGTGCCCTAAATATATTAGAGCACCGTTCCCCATTAAAACTTTATTAAGTGTGTCGTGCAATTTTTTTCATTGTCAATTGTGCACTTCCAAATTTCTCTGTTACTGATTGTTCCAAGTTTATTTCAAATATCATGTACCTATTTGTATATTTAATTATAAACTTATCATCAATTACCAAATATGATAGTTTGGATATGATGCTGTTTAAATGAACACGAAATGCATAAAATTAATTGTTTTAATAATGAAATGTGAACAGGTCAGATGAGTATATGAATATTGTATTTTTATTTCTCGTATAGATGTAGTGGATAATGGAGTAGAATATTTAAGTTACCTTAGTCATTAAAATACAAAATAATTTTAATTCTATGTTTATTATTAAAATGCCAATCGAGTAACAATAATAAAAAAAAAAAATAGCCCAGCACAGTGGGGACGTGGCATAGTTGGGTCAAGTATTATGATATCTTTTTTTTTCACGATCGGCATTGTTGTGGGCTCCCTAGAACTGCAGTTAGGCATTACTTCAGGTCGAGTATAATGATATCTGACAGTGATTAAAATCAGTATCATAAAAAACGCTTCGATGCAAATCTATAGATAGTGTTTAATTTCAAAAAAAAATGATGGACTATTCCGAAAGCTACATGATTTCCTATTTCTTTATTTATATCCTGATTACAAGTTTTATGACTTATAAGTGTAATATATGAATAAATATATATAAAGGAAAATAGTTTTATTAAAAAAAAAAGTATGTCACATAAAAGAAGAATATAAATAGTACTTATCTTAAAAAAATTATAATGATTCATGCATTTTTCAAAAAGTTATAGCATTATAAAGTTAAAAATATAAAAAAGAATTTTTTTACAAAAATCGTATTTTTTTTTTATTAACTTTGATGTCCGTTTTCACCATGAAAATAAAATAAAGTCCAAAATTTATTTTTTCATAATGAAGTATATTACATAAGCTTTAATTTAAGGTATATATAAAAGTGTCAGTATTTTCGGAACACTATCAAAAGTTCATTTATTGTAAAAAAGTTATCATTTTGAATCTTCCCCTGTGGGCATGTAAAGGATCATATTTATAAAAAAAATATGTAAAATGATAAGCAAAGACATCATAATGCATCCATAAAAAAAAATATATTGATTTGATCATATTTGAAAAAGTTAAGGCGGTTTTAAGTAAAAAAAATTGAAAAAATGTCGAAAATTAGCGAGTTTTAAATTTGTAATTTTATACATTTATGGAGAATGAGGGAAATTTTTTCAATTTTTGAGTGTAATGTCTTTGACTAGATAAGATTTGTGATCTTTTGACGTATCGTTGAAAGAAATCGGTTCGGTGAGAGCTGTAAAAAAGTGGTAACAGACAAAAAAAAACACATCATAGTAAAACCAATACCTTCTCAGCTTCGCATCGAAGTTAAGATATGAATAAATTAAAACTAATTTTAATAAAACGTTTATGAGGAAAACTGTTTAAGGTAACTTTTACATTAAAATGTATAGAGTAATAGTTTAAAAAATTACACTGTGACTTAAGAGCTTAACATTATGTTGAACATTTTTTAAGCATATGACTTTTCAAAAAAAAAAAAATATTTTTTAGAGGAAAAGTTTTGCCAAGTCAATAAGACATAATGTATGATTGGAATCATTTTTATTGTGATAATTTTGAAAATCTGTGCCCCGAACATATTTGTGTATATATTAAATAATTTAATGATTTATAATATTAATCATAACACAAAAATAATATTGTCATTGTATATGTTAAATATTAACATAAATTAATATTATTTATTTGGATGAAAAATTATTTAATTCTTTACAAAAACTTTGTAAATGGTAAATTTTTATATCAAAAGTATGGTGGTAATATTTTTTTAGGGATCTATTCCTCTCCTCTTAAAAAATATATTTTTATAGTATACTTATGATTTTTCTATAACTAAATAGGGGTGCTAATTTATAAACTGAGGGATTTAAGTCTCCAATTCCTGCTAGTGTGAACGTTATACATTTTTCATTTCATATATTAATAATAATGCAATTTCACGAAGTTAAAACTAAAACGATGTAATTTACATGGTTATTATCCATATTGGAGTCACATGGGAGATACAAACTTAAATACTTAGAGATATAGCAATTATTTACAGAAATCATTATACTCAAACAATCACGAGGAAAATTTTCATTGTTTTTTATTAGATTGTAAATATAAATCTTAAGTGCCTACGAGAATTACAGATGATTATGAGTGTCAACGATTTTGATTACATAGAAAGTAATCTATTGGAATTAAGTATCCTAGAGTAAAGCGAGTGAGTTTTATATTAACTATATTGTTTTGTTGAATATAAAACAAAATTAAATTGAATATGATAACAAAGTGAATAGTGATGTAGAGAATTACTACTAAAATGTCAGTTACAATTAAAATAATTAAGTATTTAAAGTTAAGTGAATAAAGTCAATATAGTTACATATTAATAATATGATATAACAGTAAAATTAAACAAAAAAATTTAGTCCACAGCATTTCCATTAAAAGGGGATTTCACTGTATACATTTTACATTTTACTGTAATTAAACTATATTTGTATCCATTGTATTAAAAAACAAATCAAAAGAACATTCGCTTATAATTATAACTATTGAAATAGTTTCTATTAGTTTATATAATTTCTAAACTTGTAAACAAAAAGTAATTATATCTAATAAAATAACAAGTTATTTTTTAGATAAAATAAATGTAATAGATATAATTACTTTTTGTGAATGATGAACCTATAATATCATTTTATAGTTGTGACTAACATTAATTTTATTTTCATTTTTTAAATAACTGTTAAAATTCTTTTATTATTCTAGTTTTTTACTATCAAAATTAGTACCATAAGAAAATAACTTTTATTATTTAATAAAATAAAAAATAAATCATAACATACCAATAAAATATTGTAGGGTAGCCAACAAATAGTAAACGCAATGACAACTGTTACCATCATTTTAATCATCTGTAATAATTAAAAATAAACATTTTTTTATAACAAAAAAATTGTATTCACATTTCACGTAAAGGAGTTAAAAACGAATTACCTTCCTTTTAGATTTCGCCATTCTAGCATCTCTAGAGTTTTGAGCTTCTCCTGGTGTTCTTTTACCCCATACAACTACTCCAATACTGATATATGTAAACAATAAAACAGCAAATGGTATGCAATATTGTAAAACTAATAATGCTGCACTGTAAAAATGTCTGACTTTATCGTTAGCCCACGTTTCTCCGCAAATATACACGCCACATTCCTAAAAACCAACCAAAATAAACCAAATAATTTTTGTATTACAATATTCATGCTCTATTTAAATAAATTAAACCAACTCGTCGAATCTCATCGAAGTCATTTGTTAGGTACAATAATATCGATTTTAATCTATTGAGATATACTTGTGTGTTTAAATATTTAATTATGGTTAATAGTTACCAAGCTTGTAGCTAGGACTTTATTTTAGGAAGGAGGAGGTCCTAAACAAAACTTCACTCTCTTCAATATATATCAATAATACTATCAAGTTTAGTCTCACAGATAAAATATAATTTTAAAAATTTGAAAGGAAGACCCACAATTCTCCTAAATACGTACTTAATAGCAGCTTTGTTACGTTTTAAATACGCAGTGTTTTAAGTATTAAAAATTTCAAAATTTACTTTGGTTTTAAGTGACATTTTAAACTGTATACTTACGTTTGAAATATATTCTTTTTTACTAAATATTTTTTAAGAACCTTGTTTTGTTATTAGTTTTATTACATTTTAGTACATAAATACTTGTATTAACGTATCTTGTTTTAGCTTCGATGCGAAGCTGAGAAGGTATTGGTTTTACTAAGATGTGTTTTTTTTTTTTTTTTTGTTTTTTTCCACT